GTTATGGATGACACGAGATAATATTAAAATGAAGGAAAGTCTATATGGGATTGTGTTTAACTTGTAAAAAAATCAAGTGTAAAGAATTAGTATTATTTTGTACATGCTTGCATGCATAAGTGTGACCCACAGGTACCATATGTGCCATAGTATTCAAAAGTGGACCGGATCGGGAACTGGTTAGGTGATTAGTTCCATTTTCCCCAAAAATCAGATTTTCCTCCAAAATTATTGATTTTGGTCAGTAAACCATTGAACCGGGTGGTTAATTGTTTGAATGATTTTGACCATTTTTTATTCTTTTTTAATTTTTTTATTTTTTGTTAGAATGGTCTGAGCGTTCAGTACTGTTTGACCCAATCACCGGACCCCTGACCAGTTCAATCTTTGGGTCGATTTTAAAAACCATGATATGTGCAATCGAAAATATAACTCGGGCCCACATTTGAATGTTTGCATAGGTGTAAATTAAAGAGTGAGGGCCACATGTGAATATTTGTATACATGAATGCATGAATGGCCCCAGATATATGTGTAAGCTCAAAATGCGAGTGGGGCCCATATTGAATATTTGTACAGGTGAATGCATGAGTGGGGACCATGGGTGATAATTGTATATGTCAATATGCATATGGGGAAGTAGGGAACACATTGATGTCTTATACAAGGAAATGCATTAGGGGACTCACTTTAGTATTTGGCATATGTAAATGTGTAAATAGGAATCACAAGTATACTATTTGCATGTTTGAGTGTGGTAATGAGTCCCATACTTTATATTTCACATGTGTGCTTAGCATATGTTTATTCGGTACAATTGCTGCAATCAAATGATCTTCTAGCTTCCTAGATCTACCCATGTAAGCCCTTGCAGCCTGCTGGGTCTTTAGCTGTCAGAATATCTTTTAGAGAAAGACTTACCAAATGGCTTCATAATTTCATGGGTGCGTCACGTACGTAAATACATGTTAGATATAGGTATTATTGAAAAAATTAAACTTAATTATAACTAGTGATTCATTGTTTTGGTCAAACGGATTTGCGGTTCAACCATTTGGATTAACAGATTTTTGATTAAATCAATAGTTTTGACTAGTTAAGGTGATGTTTGGTATTGATGTCCACTTCTTGAAAATCATTGTCATGTGATTATGTGAGAAGTGCGTCAGCACTAGAGGAATCGGTATTAAAATTTCTGTTTGGTTGGTCAATTTTTGTTATTTTCTAGAAATTAGTCAAAACTTCATTCTTGAAATTGGCCATTTTCAGTGATTCCTTGATTTCTAACCAATTCTGATTTTTTTTTTGAGAATGACATAATATCTGATGTGGAATAGAATAATAATTCTAATACAAAAAATAATTGGCCCTTGAGAATTAATACTAAAACTTAAAACCAATTTTCAAAAATTGACATACATAATAAAAATGATATCAAATAACAAAATTCACCATTTTTTGGAAAATCCATAAAGAAAAATTAGCATCGATGCCAAACATCACCTAAAATTATTACGGTTGAAATGGTTCAACCACCTAGATTTAGTTGAAATGCTATATCGCACGGCAAGGACCTAATTTTTGTACATCTCTATCGACTGTCATATATGCATAGACTTTTCAAACGTATGTTCCCGGTTGGTACATGATCCATGTGTGTCATGTGTCATGCAATATTTATTCCTTTGGACAGGGCTCATGTTTTGCTGACCATCAGACCCTGTATTTGAAAAAGACCCATAATGTATTTGAGAACCTCACATTAGACAAGGCAAAACTTCAAGTATAGACTCCACCAGAAAGATGAATAAAAATATTCCCTTCCAAAGAGTTCTAACTTGTAAAATCTTCAACTTGCAGATTTCTATATTATTAAATCTGAGAGCATCTGGTGGGGTTTATGTCTACCTAATTTGAGAATTTAATCTCACTATAATTGGAGCTGGAAGATGCTAGTTGCAACTGCCAAGGGATGCAATTTCCATGGTTTAGGTGTGCAAATCAAGTCCCCTGTCTGATTTGAAGAATTTACAGTGTTGAATCTGGGATTTTGGGTTGGGCCAATTCAAATTTTAACAAATTCTCAACCTGACAGAAATAAAGGACAAAAAGTGAATACATTCAAAACAGCCGGACGCACAAAAAGACAAAAAATGAATACATTTACAATAACCGGGTGCACGAAGCTCTCAGCAATGCAAGGTCTGGGTAGCCGGGGAGGTGCAAATATATGCAACCTTATCCCTATTGCTCAGTTTGAAAGGAGTACAAATGCAAATACGTACGATATAAATACATATAAAATAATATAAAATACAAAGTTTTATACTCTACATATTTATATTTCTACTCCTTCTAAAGTAAGCCATATAGATTTATAGATACACAAAGAGACTGTTTATAAACAAAATTCCGAAAGTTACTCCATTAACATCATTGTAATTACGCAGAACGTAATTCAAGAGCACTCACAATAGCAGATAGAAAATTGATTCAGAACATGATTTTGGGTGCTGTTTTCTGAACACCTTGACCGGAGAAAAACTTTACATTTCAAGCCCAAAATCGAGTTTTAGTGATAGATTGACCAGGTAAGGAGGTATGGGAAACATTTGGCTTATTTCAATTTTGAAGTCCAAATATAAATCCCTATTTAATAATTGTAGTCCGTCTTCAAACAAAGAAGTTGAAAAAATTTCTTTCTGGTGGATTCAACTACCATATAGTAAAGATGTGATACTTGAAAAATTTGTAACCGATCAACCGCTATCATAGAACTGGTAATTAATCAGGTGATACTAATCAAAATTTACAACTGGGTTGATTGGGGAAAGCTCTTCTGGTATGATCTCTTTCTGAAAGCATAGATTTTTCCATCTTTATAATTTTTTCAGCTAAGGGGAAGTATTAAGGATCAAACGGATCGGATTGGATTCGAATCAAGGTATATTTAAATTTGTTCCCATACTGTTTATGTCGGATCTGATAGGACTTGATTTGAATTCAAATCCTATTGGTGAATCAGATCTTCGGATCTGATCCAATCCGATTTGTTTTCTTTAAAAATTAATAATTTATTAAAAGAAAAATAAAATATACTAATTTAACTAAAGTAAAAACAAAAAAACACAAGTATTTTTTTAATTATTTTCTTCATATATATATATATATTTTATAAAAAAAATAAATAATACAACAGATTTATAAAAATATAAAATAAATAATATATATTTATATTTATAAATATATAATTATTCGACAAAATAGGATCGGATCATATTTGCACCCCTAGGAAGTACGAAAAGCCAAGGTTGAAAATTAAAGCAGGTATATTTTCTTTGAAGCATGTGGTTAGAGTTGCTATCAGAATGAAATGACAATTTTTTTTCCTAACCACATATGAGTGAGATCCGTTGATGGATCCCCAAATTGGAGTGCACCTTGGACCCTGTAAGTGGAGACTGCCATTAAAATACGTGTGGTCTGTTTTTACATGCTCCAAGGTGGACTTTTAATGGAGATCGCATTGTAATTGTTTTGTCATACGCCCTTACATTGTTAGATTATATATATATACAATATATTGGTATGTTTGGTTGTCGAGAAAGGAATGGGAAGAGAAGAATTCTTCAAGAATATTTAATTTTTCTATTGTTTGTTTTGAAAAAAGAAATTGGAATGGGATTTCCCGAAGAAAGTCAATACGTAGGGTTACACCAAAATAGAGGCCTTTGTGAGAAAATTTTGTCGAACCAACAACCCAAAGAGTGTGGTCTTTTTCTTAGGTGCTGTCCAACAGTCATTTCACCGACACCATTTCAATGATTTTTTTGAAAGATAAGCTCAGATTTGGCATCCTCTCACGATTTCTGCCCATTCCAATATTTAGTTTTATTGGAATGGGACTGTTCACCTTCCTCCTTTTATTGCTAGGTTTGGATGGCAAGCTTCCTGTGTAAATGACTCATGGGTAACCAAGCTCTCATTTTTATCACATTAGCATGCGAAACCTCACCTGTGCATGGAAACTTTGGCATAGTGGTGGCATTGATGCCAAACACCTACGCTTGAACAGGATTGTGTTGCCCGATTTGTTTGCACATGGGACCTTTGGCAGGATCATTTTATGGGAGGAAGGAGATGTAAACTCGAGTTTCTTCACCGGAGTCACACTGTTTTGATGCGACCCCAAATCTACGATTTTAGGATCTTGCATCCTAATTTTTTCTCATCCCGTCCCCCTCTTTCTCTCAAAACAAATATGAAAAAAGAAAATATTTTTAAAATATTCCCTTTTTCTCATCGGAACCATAGCATATGCCACAAAAGGGTGTGGGGATTAAAGGAATGGGGGATGGGCTGCCTACACCCGGCTGTGTAGTCCACATGATTCCATGAAATTCAAAAAAAACAAAAACTTTTAAGTACTTTTCTTGTAATATTGTTTATAATTAATTTTTTTAGTCCTGACTGAATTTAAAAATCGAATGCTCTAGGCTACGGAAAGCGATGTAAATGTATTTTACACCATTCTATTGGTTTAAAGGTTACTTTCGATGTAAATGAAACCAGAATTATTAGATGCAAATGCTTATATCGTTTGTATTGAAGTTAATGTTGATATTGATTATATCGATATAAAACTTGATGCAAGTAAGGTTTTACATCGACTTTTGGTGTTTCATTCCACTCCTTCCAAATGGCTACAAAATGGAACTCAAGTGTAATATAACACCAATCCGATATTTAAACCAAACAAATACAGCCCTAATTTTTACAGGTTAACCAGGCAGTTTGTCTGTCCAAGCAGCAAAAATTGTTATTTAACCAGGTCCCGGAAAGGCCACTGGTTCCTAACCTTCGTGGTCGACCCATCCGGTCAGGCCCGAGCCTTAAAACATATTTTAGAAGACCTAAAACCTAGCCGAGTCGCACTTGGCAGGAAAGATGTTGACAATCTAGATATATCATCAAGTAAAGATGTTGAAAAATAGTAAAGGTAGAGACAACAGAAGTAACATACTGTATCATTAAAAGTCAAAATCACTGTAATGAAAAAAACACATAAAAAGCTCGTGATTGGAAAATACACGTCCAACAAAGAGCTCATTATTTTTATGACCACAGGGAACTAGGAATTCAAATTTCTATTAAAAAATAATTGCAAGTATACAATGCCAAACAGTAGCTGTATAAGGGTATATGGAAATCAAGCAGCTCCCTTGAGCTTCTTTGCGATGCCAGCAATGTACTTCCCCTGGTGGAAAGCTTGCGCCAGTTCAAGCTCTGATGGCTGTCTAGAACCATCCCCAGCGTAAGTTCCTGCTCCATATGGGCTACCACCCTTCACCTTCTCCATCTCAAACATGCCAGCACCAAATGTGTATCCAATGGGTACAAAGATCATCCCATGATGAGCCAGCTGAGTAATGGCCGTTAGCCTGTGAAATATCCCCAAATTATCAAAATACAAAAAGAAAAATGTAATGTTGTTTTCCAAGGATATTTAAATTAAAAGAAAAAACCCTTCCAGGCAGAGTAAGGAATATGGAGCATGCATAAGAACTTACGCAGTAGTCTCTTGTCCACCGCCTTGAGATCCAGTGCTGTAAAAAATCCCTGCAGGCTTTCCTGCCAATGATTGCGTTCTCCATAGACCTCCAGTTGCATCTAGAAATGCTTTAAATTGAGCAGCCATCATCCCAAATCTAGTGGGGAATCCGAAAATGAGCCCATCAGCTTCAGCAAGCTCAGCTGGTGTTATGACTGGAACATCACTCTTTGAGGGAGCACTCATCTTCCCTAGCACCTCCTCTGAGAGTGTCTCTGGGACCTGTTTTTAATAATCAAAGACTATTAGGATATTTGCCTAGATCTGCTATAAGTTTGTCAAAAATAAATAAAATCCACAATCATCACATGAACAGCGACTGCAAACATTCTGAAAAATAGGAATTTTTGCCTTCTAGCACCAGGGTCGGAGAAACTCAGAAAAGCAGGACAAAATCCTGTGAAAAATGCTAAATCCACAAAACACACATTAAATAAATGGGGAGGGGAAGAACATCGGAGAAGCATGTGAAGAGGAAACTCGGACATAGCATTGCCCAGGTGGAATGCATCCGCATCAAATAGCCGTTAGTTTTTTTTTTTTTTACAGGCAAAATAGCTTCTATTCTAATTTTGTGCACACTTTTCCATTTTCCTATTCCTGATGGAAAAAAATCCCAGCATGAGAACAGAAGGAACTCAAATATGTCCAGTTCCTATGGACATCTAATTATTGTACACACCTTCTTGGAATCGCCTTTCAGTTTGCATATGCCAAAAATACTCAATCATACTACATAACATTTCAATTTAACTTATCCCTTCTTATCACTGAACTACTACATCCTCTTCTTACAGCAATGTATATTCCACAAATTTTATTTTTGATGAGCAACTTACACAGGAAGAATTGAAACCTCAGCATTTCTTGGAATTATAGCACACTCTTGCCAATACATCAATGAAAGGGGCACTCAGATGCTTATTTAGTGCCAGTCCTTTCCAGTTAAATATTTAAATATGAAAGTGCATTCAAAACTACAAATGGTTTCATCACACCATATCATAATACACCTTTACTATTTCTTACAATATTGGGCTAATGGGACAATGATCAGGGGGAGATAAGAAACACACCTGCCATAGTTTTGCTTCCACTCCTTCTACAGATGCAGCACCTTTCTTTATCTCTTCAGCTAGTTTTTCAACATGCCCGTACATGGAATAGTACCTGTAATGTCATGTTGGTGTTCAATCACCATCATTCGAAGAAAAAAAATCTATTGAAGAAGATTGATGATAAAAACATGAGGAGAGAAATATCAATGATCTGTTTCATACTTCAAGTATGAAAAAGGACTTCAACCTACAAAGTTCATGGTAAGGTAATAGAAACTGAAAAGCTGAGAAAGCATTAGCGGGTATACTGTGCACCGAGGTCCACAATCTAGAAAGTATGCATAATGTCAAAACGAAATGGACAGCCTACCTGCAAATGCACGGAATCAACATCCAACATAAATCAAAGTGGTTACATGACCACCGCACCAAGTGTCATGTATGAAAATAATGAGTAATAGTTCAGCAGGAATCCACCTATAGAATCATGACATGACACAACGGATAGGATACTTGAGGCAGAAACCATTATATCGAGGACCTCCACTATATATTCCAATCCGTTATCTTGGTCAGTTTGGTATAAGATTAAAATGAAAGATAAAGAAGCAAGGGTTTCACTGGAATTTAATAAGCTAAATGATAAAAAAAATTGTGTTCTTTATTTGCATAGATACATAATATGTCTGCACTCTATTTACTCAGTGATCAAGAAAGGCTATCAACACAAAGATACTGGAAATATCAGCCAAGAGGTCCAACTTGGAACGGATAAGTGGACAATAGATTTGGTTGACCTCATCGGATTCTACTTAGTGGACTTTAATTTAGCTTTAGAAATAAATATCTCCTTCAACAACCTGTTTTAGCAAGATTATTGGATAACATAAAGCTACTATCCAAACTAAAATTCAGAAAGCTAGACAAAATTTGGTTATGAATCAATATCCGAGTAAGAAACCTTTAGCACCATCAAATTAAAATTTAGAATGGTTCCACTATAGGAAAATTTGACAATGACAGGAAGGAACCTCTATAGACACAAACAAAATCCAACAGACCAACCACCTAGATTAGGACGATGAAGTAAAAGCATCAAAACGACCAAACCCTGCGGCACGAAAGAGGAAAGAAGGGTTCTGGAACATCTTGTTCTGTTTTCTTCATTCGTTTACTAAAAATAAGGGAAGATGAAATTAGAGTAAGGCTTAAGCAAATGAGCAGAAGCATGAATTCCTCAGTAATATTTTATTTCATATATCAATATGCAAATGATCAAACTTTCAGCCCTAGGCTCCAATTTAACTGGGTAGATGTAATTTAATGATTCGTCGAGAAGTCTTAACGAAAATAAGACTAACGAAATTTTAATCTAAAAAAGAATAGAAGGAAAACAAAATGCCAAACACCCAAACGAGCTGAAATCCAGGTTAAATAGGAAAAGAATCTAACTAAAACCCTAGGGTTGATGAAATTTCATTTTCTTACAATTATTTCTTTTGATTTGCATTTTGTCCATCGATAAATTCCAAGAATTCATCTTTCACCAAAAACAAAATCCAACAATGAATCCGCCGCCAAAATAGAAATATCAAATGCAAGAAAAGAAATAGAGAAATTTCGGCAAGTCGAAGCTCAACTGGTTAAGTTAGGCTGTATCTTGAATAGGTCACCAAGAAAAGCAGAAAGAGGAAAGAAAAAAAAATATTTTTAATTCCTTAATCGTCGAAAAATGGAAGAGTAAGGTCACCAACAACTACCCAAGAACTGCAAGAAATTCTTCACAATTCAAACCAGTAAAACGTTCCATCGATCTTGACTCGAAATGATACATCTTACTCTCCTCCGGAATGAAAAGAAGAGAAAACAGAAATAAAGACAGAATCTCTCGCTCAAATAAAAATGATCACAAATAAAAAAAAAAAACGATCTGAAAATCCCGAAAAAGAGAAAGAACGCAAAATGTAAGCATGGACAGAAAAAGGAGAAATCCAGGACGAAAGAAGGTTATTCAATTGAATTAGCCAAAAATGCTAGAATGAAAATGATCAAAGAAGAATTGCCCGTGTGATCAACCAACATCCCGGAGAGAGAGAGAGAGAGAGAGAGAGAGAGAGAGAGAGAGAGAGAATAACGCTTACACAATATAGACTTTGGTCGCCATTAATCGAAGTGCGAGAATGTAGGAGTAATGTCTCTCTTTGTGTCTCTTCGAAATCGTATGGATGAGGGGATGAGAAGAGAAGGGGAAGACCTCAGTTGAATTTATATTGCACCACTAGATTAATTAAGCTTTTTAATTAATTCTAATTAGTCACTAATTACAACATTAGTGGGGGGTTTTATAATTGATCTGTTGTCACGCTCCATCATCATTCTCTCGCCTAATTTTTTTTTTCCATAAAAAACGAAAATTAAACTAAAATAGTAAAATATATTAGAGTCAAATGTTATGCCAGTTTCCATATTTCAATATAATGCAGAAAATGACTGTTTTTTTCTTGATTAAAGACTAGACTTTGTTAGTTATTAATTTAGAAGTCATGTAGTGGGATCATAGCCGTTCATCAACCGAGACTTTTTACTTTTTTTTTTTTAGCTGTAAAAACTGTATGTAATTTTATCTGATGACACACATCCTGTCGCCTGTGCTACGTCATCGAGGCCGTGTCTATCTTTGACCGGGGATTCGCGCCGAGCATCTAGACTCTTTAACGGTTCAGATTCATCACATTTATTAATCCAATCCACATGCATCGGAAACACATACACATATAGTAATACATAATTGGGAAAGTATTTAAAAGTACTTTTTATTTAAAAATTAAAATCAGTTGAAAAAAAATGTTTCCCTTCAAAATTTTTATCTCTCCGTCTCCGAGAAAAAGAAACTGGTCTACGAATATTTATTGGAAGGGTAAATGTAGGGTACCGGAAAGGAGACACATAGGAAGGCGTTGCGGCGTGGCAAGTTAAAGAGCCCCAAATAAACAAACACGTGTTTGGGTCCTATGCTGTGCGCCTGTATCAAGATCAAGAATGTGTCAGCTCAGGAGTCAGGACAAAAAATAAGGCTTACGTCAGGAGGAAATAAGCAAGAGATACAGACGTGTAATACAGAAATGGGAATTGGGAATTTGTGCCAACAGAACACGTTCCAACCCTACCAACATCATCTCACACTGCACATCTTAATTAGAGACATTATAAAAGTGAGACCTGACATCATGTATGAGATGTGCGGTGTGAGATGATATTAGTAAAGGGTTGGAATGTGTCTTGTTAATAGGTGATCTGTGGTCTCTAGAAAATGGGCATGGGCATCCTGCCTCTGGACTGGAATGACGATGACCCGCCCGAGTAGTCCAAGTGTTAAAGCTAACACGGCACCGTGGCGTCGTCATTCACTGTCAACTACTACCACGACAGCATGGGCAGCTCTCCAATCTCCATTATGTTGGAAGAAGGATTGATCATAGATGATCAAACAGAAATAGTGTTATGTGGCTGTTGCTTACTTGATGCCATGTGGACGGACATGCGGACCTGGTCATACATGATATATTCTTCCATTGGAAGTATGATATCAGAGTAGCGTAGGATATACAAATATCATATCATGATTCATGGATGCGCCAGAAACAGCAGGCATTGGCCAACCAGAGCAGAGAGCATTGGATTTGAATTGGTCTCCAGTTAGTGGCTGTAATTCATGGCGGGCTGAGACATCATTTTCGTTGGTCATGCTCAATCAACCATTACACATATATTTGTAAAGGTTGAAATTGAAGATCAACATAGATGATAAAAGTAGTAGTCCAGTCTGCAGTCTGGTAGCTGCATGCCTGCGGCCTGCGGCCTGCCGCCCCGCCCTACCCTTCTATTATTAGCATTGTCATCTACGCCATGAAGGAGTAGTACTAGTACTATCGCCAGGTGGGGCTCCCGCTGCCCAATCCCATCTTCCATTCGAGAGAGATTGACAACAAGCAAAGTATTAACCTGGATAAAATGTCTGGAGATGGAAAATGCTTTTTTTTTTTTTTACAAAAATAATTAAGTTATAGGAATTGGACCATTTTTTTTTATTTGTTTTTGGTATAAAACGAATTCATTGCATATCAAGAGACGAGTTATTACAACCATGAGGATGAATCATGAATGCGCTGCTGGGTCAGCCAATTGGGAGGGGAAGACATCCATATATTATATATAATACCAAAAGGCGAAGACTTGCTAGCAAGCATGTGAGCAATTAATTCTATTTGCCTCCCTACTAACATAAAGCCACCTAACTGAGGCAAAGGCACTTACTAGCTACAACCTTAACGTCTCCTAAAACAAAACAGATATCCATGCATAGATTCCACCTCTGTAAATGTAAATCCATTGAGGATGCTAATCAAAACAGAACAATCAGAGGAAACATTATTTAAAAAACAGAATCCCTGTTCCTTTGCCAGTTTAAGCCCATGCTAAATAGCTAATGCTTCTGCAAACAAAGCTGATCGAAGAGTGTCCAACAAGCTTTAGCTGCCACAAATATCATTGCGAATGATTATGCCATTATGAACTGAAGGGATGGCGATGCTGCTAAGCGTTTGGTTTCGGTGGTTTTTCCGAGTCGCTTGAGTTCCTTCCTGTAATAGCCTGCTGCTAGCATTGTTAACAACAGAAATAATGTCAGATTCTTTGCCTTCAAAGGTGAGTTTATTCCTCCTGAGCCAAATGCGCCAGCATAAGACTACAAACACAGAAGTAATGTCTTTTAACTGATATTTCCGGTAACGAATTATCATTTACCCAAGGCAGCAACCACTCTTATCGAAAGGCTGTAAGCGAACCAAATTGGTTTAACTAGAGGACAGTAAAAGAGGGAATGTTCAACTGTCTCTGGGCCTGAATTGCATAAAGGACACTCAGAACGGGATTCTAAGATGCATGGATGGCTTTCCAAAGGGAAGTCTTAGCTTCAGGCACAGAACGGGAACTCCTAATCACTTTCCACAGACCACAGACGGGCTCCGCTAGAGTTTGCATCAGATAACAGAATTGGGTTTTCATTGCCTCTGGCTTTTGCAATTAGGTAAGAAGATTTAACAGAGAAATTTCCACTACTCCTAATGGACCAACAGAACTTGTCCTCACAAGTAGAAGTCGGAATATAGATCTTTGTGATCTCATTTTCTATCTCAGGGGGGAACATATCTCTGATAGAGTGCATCCCTGCGGTTTCTCCATCTGAACTCTAAAGCCTGGAATTGAAGGAATTCAATGGATTCTCCATTATTTCCATCTCTCCAAAGACCCCATTGCTTTAAAATCTCCTTCAATTCCCTGCTCAAATGCATTGCCACCC